TGTTGTTCATCTTCAGGATGGCATAGTGCCATCTTGGGGGTGGGATGGAGGCAGTAGGGAAATGCAGGCACAACGCCTGAGCCTTGCTTGCACTCTCACTGGAGAGATGGGGATGTGAATAATCTGAATTTAGCTCTATTTTGGGACGTGATTTGGTTCTGTTCTTAAGGGCCATCCCACTGTTCTTGGGATGGTATTAAAAAGGGGAAGAGCAATGGGAAGGTGTTCCCCTGGTTTGTCATGGATGAATCCAGACAGGGCCAAAAAAAAAAAGAAAAAAGAAAAGAGAAGAGGAAAATATCTAGTGCCACATGGATCTGGTGTCCCTGGGGGTGGTTCAGGCAGGAGGATGATGCCAACAGGGAAGAATCCCAAAATGGGCACGTGGTTTTGAGAATGAATACCTGTCCTCCTGTGCTGCCATCGCCTTCCTAAATACTAGTTGGATTCCTCTTTTTTGTGTTCTAACCATGTTGTCACTTTCAGATAGAGAGTGTGGCCTTGTGAGATGGTTTTTGCACATTTTTAAGGTAAAAGTCTTTCTTAATGGAGTAAATATAATTAAAGTAAAACAAACCCTGGATTTTTCTTGACAGCACAACAGAAAGTGTCATGACATTAAGTCAAACCCTTGTGATTAGTTAAACATAACTTAAAATAGCTCGACACTAAAGAGCTTTTTCCTTTTATCTGCTGGCCTGTAGCTCACTGTTAGGTAGTAACGTCAGCTGGATATGTGAAAGCTTCTGCAGTTTGGAAGTGAACCTTTGAGTTTATTGTTATAAGTGTCAAACTGCTGAGGAGAACATGTGCTATATACTGTGCGCAAGGGTATTTTTTACTTGAGTGAGTGGGAAGTAAATGTGTGAAAGCAAATCTCTTGCCTTGTATGACAATGTCACTGTAACTTGTTTTATTTATTCATTTCCCACTGATAAATGATACAGACACAGCCCGGGTGGGTGGAGAAGGGAAGACAGGTAGCCCTCGCACTGCAGAAGGTCAAGGTTAATGCTACCTCCAGCGTTATAATGACAGATGGGAGGCAGAAACCTTAATGTACTTGTGATTAGCATATGGATTCCTTGGCTGAGTGTCCGAAGGCTTTAAGAAGCCGGGGTACGCACTTCATAGCGTACACATTTTAAAACAAATAAACAGTGTGTATGGTTATATTGTTGAGCCTTTCAGCTGTTTTTCTTGAATATCTCCACTTTTGAGTCAAGTACTGTCAGCTGCTTTGTTCTGGAGATGCACTGGGGTAATCCATCACTGGGGACTCACGGGTGGGTGATGTATTAGCACGACATATCGACCTGTGTTGCTTTGATGTGTAACCCATCAAGATAATGTTGGCAAGCATTGTACAAAAGCAGCATGTTTAAAAAGTATTACGATGAATTGATTCCTTCCTTAAGAAGTGTGAAAGGAAGAATAATAGCAGATTAGCTCCAGGATGCCGTGTTTCTCCCGGAGCCGTGCAGAGTTGTGCGGTGCAGAGGGGCGGATGGAATTTCATCTTTCCTCCCACTTCTGACAGCAAAGTGTCTGGCCCTGGTTTTCCCATTCTCAGGCAACAAAAGTCGCATTAAGTCTTATTTTGTGATAGCGTATTTTGTCACTTTCAAAAGCAGTTTGTCCAGTCCCGAAACATTATGGGCAAGCTGAATTTTTTAAAGTTGGAGGTTGGTGGTTTTTTTTTTTTTACTTTATTAGGTTAACTTGTTCTTCTAAGAGTAGCCCTGATTTTTATCTCATGGAGACGTGCTGTGGCTGGTAGTATTTAAAAACCATTTTAGAAGTGATGTTACAACTGAAACACCATTAGTTTTTAGTTCCTTCTTTCATGATCTTAAAAGACATGAAGGGAAGAGACGTACTGGCACACCCACGGCATCGCCTTGTCTGTGCAGAATTGCTTCACTCATTACTTGCTCTAGTGCTGTTCGTGGTTCATTACAGGGATTTTGCAGTCTGCCATGACTTCGGTGATGTGAGGAATTTATTTAGAATAACCTGTATGCCTGGATGTTATTTTAGCCCAAATGTCCTAAAAGGATTAGGTTGAAAATGTCTGCCTAATATGCCTGTTACTGAAATATCAGAATACTTTATAATATTTAGTACATCAAAGTCTCTTTTAATACTTTGTAATGGCTTCTAGAAAATGCTCAAGTCCTTTCTTTGTCCTGTCTTTTTATTTTTCAAGGAAGAATCTGAAAAAGTTCTCGTTAGAGGCCAAGGGGCTGCAGAACTCTGTTATTAATATAGCAAAAGTCAAGATTGTGTTGGGTCTTACTGTCATGAGTAAAGTACTTGCCCCACTTTCATCAAGAAATGTGTGATGGTCTGATAAACTCTGCCCACCAATGCAGTCCTGACAATGATCCTGCACTGCAGGCTGCTTAATAATTTTCATTATTTTTAATTAAAGTTGAAGAAGTGCAGACTCCTGCTCAAATTAAGGTTGGTTGTGTTGCCGGAATGTGGTAATTACTTTAATTGATCACAAGATAGTTTCCTTGATCACCAATTAGACCAAATTACCGATCAAGTTTCAAGACGTGAAGAAATGTCCAAACTGATTTTATGTAATAGTGTTTTCATATCTAATCAAACCTAAATATCTTTTCCTTCCAGAGCCAATTGTATTTTCCCAAAGAAGGGTTATGGCTCTACAAATATAAAGGTGATTCATAAACAATAGCATTCCAATTCATTTAATTAGCAAAGGAAGTATTTAAGACCTTAATGGAGATTGCGCTGGTGAAATTGCTCAGTAGAACTGTAGCTCATTTTCTTAGGGGGAGATACTTTTGGCGTATAATTAAAATAAACTAAAATGCAAGAAGTGAGTTGCTTTGCGTAACGTGCAGTGAGGGCGAAGGTCTCTGAGCTGAGCGGGGCATGCAGAAAGGCGGGCATGTCTGGCGGGTGTGCGTGCTTCGTCCTTCGCTGTAACCCCAGATCGCCCTGGCTGGGACAGTGGTGGTCAGCTGGAGCAACGAGCAGCAGGACCGGTCCTGGGGAGGGTCCTCTGTGCCAGAATTAATTCCTTTTCATGACTCGGGCACTCTTCGGGAAGATGAAGAGCGTTAAGACCAATGACTGTTATATCCAGCTGGAGACTTTTTACTGTCGGGGGGGAAAGAGGCGGTGGGTTGGTGTGGTGGTCCGCTGGTCGGAGAGGATTTGGTGGTCCACCGATCCAGAGGATTTGTCATCACAAAGTGTGAAGGAAGGTCTGCAGAGCAGATTAATTTAGTAGATTTGTTTGCTTGCATAGTTTGCTCTGTCTGCCTTCTGTTGCAGCGATGATTATTGTCACACAATCAATGAATTGTGCTTGTGTAGTGTAACCTCCATATATACATAGGGGGGTGAGTTCCTGGGATGGACAGACAGCCACGGGTAGAGCATACATGAACCCGGTAGGGTTTTCATAAATTTAATGTATTTTTTTCCCTTGCTGCTTGTTTGCACAAAGGGAATCTAGTTGCAGATGCAATTGTTGTTTTAAACTTTTGGGGACATTTCTGTGTGTAGATTGCTGTGTTGGAAATAGCATTCCTATTAAGCCCGTGGTCACTCTAAAAACATTTAAATCAAATATCTTTCAGAACTATTAATGCAGAAGTGTTCCAAGTCATTGCTAACATTTAACGCACAACTTGCAGCTTTCTGCTTCAAAGCATGCTGCTGAAACATTTGCAAATTTTTAAAAGTAATTGTTCACTCGAAGTAAAACTAAACCAAGTGAGAGCTTCAAGGGAAGTTAGATTTTCCCAAATTTTGGAATGCTCTTGGGTCAAAGAAAAAAGCTTTTTAATTGCTGACAGTTTGGTGATTTCCAAATGACAAACCTCATTGGAATGATTTTCTCTGATTATAACGTTTGCATTCATTTGACTGGCAAAGCGACTAACAAAGTCATACTTCATCCAGGCACCGATTCTTTTTTTACTTAAAGGTTTTTGTAATTTGTGAGAGGAAAAAAGACTGAAACTATTATCAACCATTATATGTTATTCATTGACCACATGTTTGTTTGAAACGGCCATCGCTTGGTGGAATGCGGGCTATATACATTCTCTTCCATAAATTCGCACTAAAAAACTGCCTAAATCAGGTAGGGTTTTGTTGAGCTTGTTGTATTATAATATGAACCAGACTATAACGTGGACGTTACTTTTGCTTTGCATGTTAATTCAGGTCCTGAACCGCGATGGATGGAGCTCGGTATGAACAAAGCCCACTGACTTACAGGCGTCCTGCTCACGCTTTGAGGCCCTGCGGGCCTCACTGTGTAATTGCGTTCTTGATTTACATGGACATTCTAATTTTTTTTATAATGTAGTGATTTGCTCCTAAGTATTTTGGCAAGGGCCTGCTATTATTTTCTTCTTGAGCCTGTGATAAAACCTGCGTCCTGGGGGAGCGTGCTGGGGAGAATATAGGGGCAGAGGATTGGAAAACCTATTTTAACTCATTTTAAGGGAAAATATCTTTTCATAAAGCAGAGGGACAAACCCACCTGCCTCCTTTCTCCCCCCAGTAAAATAAATAGCAAAATAGTTACGTGAAAGGATGTGTTTCTGGAATTGGTATCTGTCTAGTACAGGAGTACTGTGGCATGATGCTTAATTTAGAAAGGGCACGTTTCTAAGATGCAGTAAGGAATGAAGGTTTGGGATGGATGTTTAAAATCACTGTTGGATGCCAAAGGTAAAATCATTGCTCTCATGCAATGGCTTTGAATCCTGGAGTAAGTGACACCGAGCAGGGTGATTTGCTGGGGCTGAAGGGGATGATTTCAGCAGTCTCAGGAAATGCATCGGTGGCATGAGAAGGTGAAATCCTCCTTTAACACGCACAAACCCGAGGTGCGGCAATCTGGAGCATCTCTAGGAGTTTTGCAGATTTTGCAGTGAATCTCGGAGATCCGCTGCCAGTCCTGGCAGGTGGAGGAGTATTTTCCTCTTTGCTGTTTCTCTCCTTAGGCTTTTGGATTTATGACGCGTGTTGCTCTACAAGCAGAGAAGATGAATCACCACCCGGAATGGTTTAATGTCTACAGCAAGGTAACGTGTTCACCAGCCCTAGTTACAGGCATGGCAAGTTAAAGAGACCAAACCACACTGGCCCACTCTCTCTGCCTCTTTTTGTAGCTTATGCACAAGATAAGGAAATGGAAAGAGGTTGTGTCTTTTTAAAGAGATTTGAGATTTTGAAGAGATGCTGAGACATTTGCAGTGGTGAGGAATCAGGATTCAAGCTCTTTGCGATTGCTACCAGCCCCATGGTTTGGACCTGTCACTTCACCTCTCTGGCTGAGATCTAAAAATAAAATATAAGCCTTTAAACTCTTATTTAGCCAACCTGAATAAACGACTGTTTCGAAACTACTCACCAACTCTCATTCCTTTCTGTGCAACAAGCGGTGTAGTAGCAGACCGTCAGTGTGTAAGTACCTAAATGGGAGCCTGGCAGTCTCAATTTAGTTTTGATTTTTTAAAAAATTGTAGGCTCCTATGTCTCAACATAGCAGCTTATAAAATTTGTTTATAATATTACTTAACTGGTGGTGGTCTCATATTTACAAGAGTTACAAGGTATACTGCAACCCTGGAATAAAAGGTGCTGTGTGAAGGGGGAAATTATTGCTCTCCCTTTATTTTTATTTTCTAATACTTCTCATTGCATTGTATCGAGTTGTTTGTTTTAACATTTGGCGAATATATGGCAATCCCGCTAAAAATACACTAAAAGGACATGTGGGCAAGCAGCCTGCGGCTGGGAACCACCATCCCCAGAGCAGGACATCCCCACCTCTCCTCCCCCAGCAGAGGCATCCCAGCACAGGCTCCTCTTCATCAGCCCTTTAGGTCACCCTGTTTAAGGGGACATTAAATGATCACCAGACAAAGTCCTGATCACCTGCCCTTCATGATTTTCTTGGCCTTCCAGAATATTCAGAATTTATCTTTTTTTTCCTCTTCTCTCTTCCCAAAAATCTCAGTCAAAAGCGAGACAAAGTAACGCCCAACTTGTCATCTGGCTTAGTCTAAACAAACCCACGCAGGCAGCTGCGTCAGAGCAAAATGCACCAGTCCGTTTGTTTTTCTTTTTGAAATTAATCTGCAACAAGCTCAACAATTTCTTCACCTTCAGGGTGCTGGTTTTTAACAAAACGCGTGAGCCCCTGACTCTGCTGTTGGCAGCTTGGTCACTGGCCCAGGTTCTTCGTGAAACCGATCCGTGGAATTTAGATGTAAAGAATTACTTATTTAATCGGACACCTCTTCTTGGATGAAACCCAAGAATGAAACGCCTGTTTTATTCTGTGAAGGGGCTCGCTTTGGTTAGACTTCAGGCTCTGTTAAGCCTCCTCACCTACAACCTCTTCTGGTTTACATGAGCAGTGAGCGTCCAGCTCGCTGCTTGCAGGGAGCATCGTGTAAAACCAGTTAACTACAGAGACACGCAGCGTTCCCAGTGAACTGCTGCTCAGCCTACGTGGCAGAGATGAAAATGGCTTTGTGACCCCTTTCTTTTCCTTTTTGACAGGTTCAGATAACTCTGATTTCCCATGACTGCGGTGGACTGACCAAGAGAGATGTGAAGCTGGCTCAGTTTATTGACAAAGCTGCTTCCTTGGTGTAACAAAGATGTAAAACGTTTTAATGCAGTGTCCATTAACATTTTGTATTGAAGTGGTATCCCTCATTCCCTGTAACCCTGATTTCACAAAACCCCTGAGACAAGATATTTTGTAGAAAGAGTGGCTTAGCTTGCTTTCCCTTTTAGTCTGAGACCCTCTGGATGCCTGTGCTTGTCCTTTGCCATTGCTGGCTCTGCCTGAGGATGTAGCAGATAAACCAGCAACAAGTAAGTTTTGAACAAGCCTTTTCTAGAAACCAAAACAAGCTGTAGTGAAAGCAGGAGCCCACCTGCACGTGTCAGTGTTCCCTAAGCCCATGGGAGCCGAGGCTGGTGGCAGCTGCCAGGCGAGCCTGCCCTGTGCCCGGCTGCTTCCCTGCTGTAGATTTGTGCCTCTCCACTCTTCAGACAGTGTACGAGCAGCCAGGCCAGGCCAGTCCCCTCCGGCTTGGTACCTCCATCTCTGCCAGTGACTGGTGGCAAGTGCAAGGGATGCTGGTGAGAGCAGCGCAAGCAGCTGATGATCTTTCCTTGAAGTTGCAGCTCAACCAGCAGTTACAGCTGTGCATTTTGGTGCTTATTCTGTGCTTGTCCGATGGTTCTTCAAACCCATCTGCCCTTTTGGCACCCACAGCCTAGCAGCTCTACCCAGCAAGAAGTCTTGCTGCGTGCTTGAGAACTGTTCCCCATCTGAGATGCAGGGTTGGATCCTGCAGTTGCTGAAAACTTTAGCTCTGGTCCAGCAAATACAAAAAATTCCAGTGAGCTACCGGCACTCACATCATTTAATGAAGCATGTGCTTAAGTGCTTGGCTGGGCCGGGTCAGCGCTCAGCACCTTGCAGGATAGAGCCATTATTTGTGCTGTAACGCTCCCGTACCTGCCGGATCAGGGCGGGTAGCTTGGCTGGGTGCCCGGAGCACTGGCCAGAGCTGCCGGCGGTGAAGGAAGCGGCATTAGCAGGATTCTTGCTAAGCTGGGCTCGGCTGAAGCTATGCTCACCCTTTTCTTTTTTTTTTTTTTGTATCTACAATTACTCATTGCGAATGTTGTTCCAAGAGCTGCAGATCCCACTGACGAGCTTTAAAATAATTTCTTCCGTGGTTTCAAAGTCTTTGTTTTTATCCTATGATCCTCACTGAGACAGATTTCCACTGCCGGCAGGGAGATTTCAACCTGCTTAAGGCTTGCAGAAGGGCCTCTCGCTCTGCAGTCCCGCTGCCGAGTGTCCGCAACGTGCACCGTCATGCCCTGCAAGCAGCTCTGGGTGCGGAGCTCCCGGGAGATTGACACCTCCGAAATGCCTGAGTGCATTGCTAGAATGACACCGGCGGCACAGCTACCAGCTACCGAGAAGTGAGATACATACTGAGCGCCAAAATCTATATCGGGTGTAAACGCGAGGTGTGTGGTCTCTCAGATATTTGGGATGCAAAATGCCACTAGCTGCCATGCAAGTATTCATGGCGATAAAATAAGAAAGGTATTTTTTGTTAATCCTTAGCAAGTGCACTGTCATGTGCTAATTGGTCCCAGGCAGCAAGATGTAAGATGTTGGGGTTTATTGTCGGTAACCCTACTTGGGATATCAACTTAATACCTAAAAAGACCCAAATTCGGACTACGTGCTCAAATGTTCTTTGCTTACAAGTGCCTTTCCCCAGCGAAGCGGCGGATTTCCCCGATATGGTTTGAAAATGGTCACTGTTGTGAGGAATGAATAAAACTAAAACAACCAGCCAGGCTGTGATGTCTCCTGTTACTGGTGGGGAAGTGAAATGAGCCTCACCCAAAGTTATGACAACATCTCTAATGAACTGTGAAAACTCTGTTGTTAGAAATTGATATACAATGCATGTGCTTTGAATAAAACCAATAAAATCAAATTCCTCCTTTGTAATTTGTTTCTTTATTATTGTACATATGTGACAAAGCTGTTTAGTTTTAAGATAGATTTAAGACAAATAATATTTAGTTACTGGGAGGTCTTTGGTTTAGAATATTGATATTTATTTACATACTCCAAGGAAAAAAATCCCCACCAACTAATTTAGCTGGAAGAGCTGCACTGTCCAGCTATGGCATAGAGCTGTGCAGCCGTGGTGCTTTGAGGATCCCTGACCACTGAAGAGGCAGAAATACTCTGAAAAGAGGAGGATGGGTTTGAAACGCTCGTAGTTTCTAGGTCAGCACTTATTTAGCCACATTTCTTGTTAACTTCTGGGGCATCCCACAGACCTGCAAGTGCCTTTCATGAGCGTTGTTGTGCAATGCTAATAATAATAAAATAAAAATAATGAATAAACGGCTTCCCCTTTCTTTTCCAGCGAGTGCTGACTTCAGAGATGGTCTCACAAGTGAAATCCTGGCTCCGCTGGTGCCATGAAGAGGTCTGCCATCACGCCGCTCCTGCCGTGGGTTCCCTCGGGGCTCCCAGGCGATGCCTTTGCCTCTGGCCCGGCTTGGTTTTGTTCGGCTGCCGCTGGTGGCTCCCTGCGTGGGTCGGTACCCGTGCTGCTCGCCTCAGGAAGCAGTGGCACTCTCCTGGGCTTTGCTTTGCCTTACAGGCACCAGGGACATCTTTCAATATAAAAGCACCTTTTTTTTTATTTGGACAGGATTCCCAGCATTTCTGAAATCCATTCCGAATCTGCGATGAACCCCCATTGAACTGCACCTCCCGCCCCATCTCAGCAGCATCCCCACCTCGCTGCTCTCGGCAGAGCCGGGCAGGGGAGCCCAGTGATGCTGAGGAGCCCTGACTCCCCTTCATACAGCTCCCTAAATCCACAGCAGCCCGCTCGCACCCGCTTCGTGCTCCTGCGTCTCCCCAGCTCCTCCTGCACGTGTGCTGCTGGTGCGGTGAGTGCAGGGTTCTGCGGGGCATGGGGAGGGGATGCACAGTCTCCCTGACCGAGCTGGAACTTCATGAGAAATTTATACAACAAGAATTTAATGACAGGCGCTGGATTGGGGCCAGGAAACTCAGCCTAAGGCACCTTCTCTTGTGAAGAGCATCGTCAGCTCTGCCCTGAGCAAAAGTAGCCAGAGCGCAGGGTTTGGGTCTCCTCCAGGTGGTGGCATCACTGGAGCTGTGCTGCTCCGTGATGTTATGGATCACGCAGCTGCCCAAAATACGGCTTCCTCGGCGGTGCCAGCGTCTCCTCAGGGTCAGTGTGGTGCCTGCTCCCCGTGCGCCTGCAAGGTCGCACCCCGCTGCAGGATGGTGCCACCCCGGCAAACTAATCACATTTCCCTGTTTGCTGCAAGGTTCGGCTCGTGGATAGCAGCTATCAGGTTAAATATTCTCCTGCAGTGTTGGGTTTTTTTTGCTTTAAGGCTGATTGTGGCTTGAAGTATTTGGATAATCCCATTGTGGAACAGCTTTCTCCTCACAGGTAACTTCCCTGGGTCAAGACTGATTTAACTTGGTGTGTCCAATCAACCGACCCAGCCCACGGCATGTGGGAACACCGTCCCTGGGAGCCCCTCCGATGGTGCTCCGTGGCCACAGGAAATTAAAAAGCAAAAACTCAAAGCTGAGCGAGCAGAGTAGGAAAGATGCCTGCAGCATGCTGCGTGGTTGGGATCGCTGCTCGGGTCCTGCGAGGCTGGAGATCACACCTTCACAGGACCGTCTCTGAAACAGAGCCAGCAAATAATCCTTCCTCCAAAATGGGAGCTCAGGTCCAGTAAAGTGCAAAAATCATACTGAAAGGGATGGTGTCGGCATCGGATATGCTCCAGGGCTCTGGGGATGGGGTTCCACAGGCAGCTCTGCAGGAAAGTGTTAGAAAACAAATATCTCTGTCTTGGTTTATGAGTTATGGCTCCATCCGACCGCGCCAGGATTCCTCCTGCCCTTCCTCCTCCTCCTGGCTGCCCAGACTGGCGGCCGAGGTGTGGTGTGGAGTGGCTGAGGAAGAGCAGACCCTAAAAGGCTAATGAGGACGTGTCCTCACCCAGCTGCTTCTCAAGGCTGGCAGGACAGACTGACATGGTTCTTTTTCAGATGCTTCGCCGTTGTGCGTGACACGTCCCCAGCTCCAGGATGGGGCTGGAGGGATCACAGCATCCCCTGGGACATGTCCGGGCCCCTGTGCTGGTGGCTGCTGGCTCTGGATCGGCCCCACCTGGAGTCCTGGGGGTTTAGCAGAGTGAAACCACAAAGCGGATCCTGCTGGACTGGAGTTGGTTTAAATCCCCCGGATGGCTTGGCCCGGGGTCAGGGATGTTTGCAGCATGCCCAGTTTTTGGTGCTGAGCACTGTTTGTGGGTTTGCCCAGATCCCTGCTCCAGCACTGCCTTCATGCTCAGCCTCGCAGCCTGCCAGGTCCTCAGCCCCACTCTGCCTTTTCCTCATCTGCCAGTGTTTTTCAATCATGCAAAACACAATTTTGAGAGCCTCGAGTTTTCAGCAGCTTCTGATAGGTATGTGCATCTCTTTCTGGCCTCTTCAGCCTCAGATTAATGAAGGGATTGCCAATTAACTGAAGCTAGTGAGTTCTTCTGCATGAGCTGGCTTCAGTTTTTCACAATTGTTTGCTCCAAGAAACAAGTATTTGTGGTTTACCCAAAGCTGCACCTCGGGATTAGCCAAACACGTGTGTGTCCTGGAACAAGTGCTTGCAGAGCGTCCACACTAGCAAGCACAGAGATGCTGACTAATTGAAATAAATTGGCCATTGCTAATACTCTTTCTTCTAAAGAACCAAGGCAAAAAACAATCATGGATGTGAGTTATCCCGCTGACATCGAAGGCCGTGTTTATGTAAGCGCTGCTCACACTGAAGATCTGTTGCAGAGTTGGACCCTTTGGTGAGGAACTGACAACTCGCTTGCAAACAAACTTTGGAAAGAGTCCAGGCACGGCTGCCAGCGGTCCTCTGGTCAGAGCCAGGCCAGCCCGTGCAGGCTGCAGGGATGCTGGAGCCCCAGGAAAGGTCCCCAGAAAGAGCAGAGGTCTGTGCTTGGGCTCCTGCACCATTTCCAGATGGGTGGTGGGTGCACAAAGGAGGATTACCCCCCCCAAAGCGCAAATGCACACCTCATTGTAGGGGCGCTCATCTTTTTTTTGCTGTTAGACACCAGTGCCAGGGTGACACGATGGCGCAATGCTCCTCTGCGGGGCTGGCAGCGTTTCACCACCCGCTCCTCCCGCCTCGGCACAGAGATGGGCCGTTCCCCTGGGATGCTGGGAGGATCGGGGCCCGGCGCACATCATCCCGGCTCATCTCCTACTGCAGGTAGGAGTGGGTGTATGCCTAAACTGCTCAGCAATGCAAACCCAATAAATTAAGAATAATCAGCATCTGCTTGTTATGCTGCTAATGTGGAAATTTTGTTTATCCAGGACTTGGTCTGGGTACTTGCCCATGTGATTTCTTTATCTGGAAGTCACCTCATAAGGTGGTGACATCAAACAGCAAGTTCCACCCTCCCGCCCATGGCAAGGATCACTTGGGGAAGCTTAGGAGCACCCGGCTATTTCATGGAGCGATTCGGGAAGCTTAGGAACACCCGGCTATTTCATGGAGCGATTGGGGAAGCTAAGGAGCACCCGGCTATTTCATGGAGTGATCAGGGACACAGCATACGGAGCATCCAGACCCTTCCCAGAATGGACGAGTCACCTCCAGTTTTCTTACTAGATCCTTCCAGCGTCTGTTGGCAGCCGTTGCAAGGCGTGCTCCCTTCTGCCAGCTCCGGTACACAAGGAGCAAAGCCCCCCTGGTGATGTGTATGCTGCGGGACCTGCTGGCTGGGGTCCGGTTCAGCTGGGGTGAAGGGAGGACTCGGACAGGAGCAGGATCTCCAGCCGGGTCCAGCTGCTGGGGTGGGTCACAGGAAAACCAACAACAAAAGACAGCAAACTGCAAGAGCTCCCTCCAGCTCTGCCGTCGTTTCTGACAGGAGAAAGGATACCAAGTTTCAGACCTCCCTGCGCAGGCTGCTGGGCAGCTGCGAATTCATGACGCTTGTGATCTGCATCATCTCCACCAACGCCATCTCCCTGGCCGTGGAGACCAACTGCCGCTGCCGGGTGTGCTGGGCTACCTTTATCGAGGTGAGGCATGGGGGCACCCTCCCTGCCGTGGCCAGGAGCGGAGCGATGGAGGGGATGGGGGCCTGGCCCCCCGCAGCCGCTCGCGGTGGCTGCCAGCCCACCGTCCTCCCCTGTGCCATTGCCTGCCCCAGCCCAGGGCCTGGCTGGATTTCAGCTTCAGATCGCTTCACTTATTCGATAATTATCGTTCTTAAAATGCAATTGTTCAGTCCTTTCCATGGCAGCCCTTTCCCCCTTCGTGGTTTTAGCACAGCTAGTTTTAAGCACCCTTTTAATACTCAATTTTCACATTGAAAAATCCCTCTTGGTCACACTCCTTGATTTCCTTGTCTTACACAAGCCAGCTACTGTACGCAAACCTCTGAGCCTTAATTATATATCCCAGTAATATATAGCCAGGCCTGGCTAATGTCAAGAAACCCAGTCACGAGCGTCGGAGGTTTCCGAGAGCTCTGGCTGCAGGACCGGGCTCCACGCGGGGAAGCGAGCGGTGTGTGCCCGGCTCCGAGGGGCTGATGGGGTGCGTGGTGCATCGGGATGCAGCCAGGACCCTCCTGTGCTGGGCAGTGACCTGTGATGATGACTGCGGTGGGGTGAGCTCAGCTCGCATTTGAAATGGTCCCTGTGGGCAGAGGGACGTTGTTGAGGACATTTAATATGAAAGTGCTGGCTTGGCACACGGCATCTGGCAGCCACAGGCAGCTGCCCGGGCTCACCTCCTCCTCTCTCCAAGTCACAGATGCTTTCTTCATCGCTGTTCACACCACCGAGCTTTTGCTGAAGCTGTACACGGATCCCATTGCCTACTGGAAGGCCGGCTACAGCATCTTGGATGCCGCCATCCTCCTCATTGTCTTCCTCCCGCATGTCTCGCCCGCAGACATCGCCACGCACACCCACCTGGAGGGGACGACCAAAGGTCTCCAGACCCTCTGCATGCTCAAGCTCATCAAGTACAGCAGCGGGATGAGGGTAAAGCGCTGCTCACTAATTAACTCACAGCAGAGAGGGGGATCCCAAGCCCAGGAGCGGGGGCAGGCTTTGCTGTACACAGGTGTCGGGGGTCGCCTGGCCCGAGAGGGGCTGATGCTTGCAGTAGCTCATGAGCAAAGGCGAAAAATAATCATTCCTGATTTTTTAAAAAGCCCATGGCTTGGCCATTGTTTTTTTCCTGTTTCTCCTTCCCCCATGGAGAGGAGAGATTTTCTTTTTTACTACAGCAGAGTAGACGCAAAAAAAAACCCCTATAAAACATAGGTCACGTCCTAGTCTTGGTCTGTGTGTATTTTTCTCTCCAGCACACCATCTCCGACTTAGTTTTCTCCTGACGACTCTGGAGGTTTGTTTTTCAGCAAGGAGCTTATGTGGGCAATGAATGCTCAGCCAGCATTTCTGCGTGTAATTAATTGGCTGGGTAGGCCACCAGAAGTGGGATGTTTATGGGCACAGGGCTCTTATAATGTTCACTTCTGAGCCTTCATTCCTCTAGTTTGGATCGTAAACTTCACTTATCACCAGACTTTTATATGTTAATTATTCTGTGTCGCTGGGAGAAGGGAGGACACGTACAAGCGCATGAAATAATGAATGGTTCAGGCATAGGGGATCAGATGCTCCAGTTTGGTCTGGCTGAATGTAAGAGAGCAAACTGATGCATGGCAAAATGGGGAGAGATTTAAATCGGGGTAGGTGTATGTTTGTTGGTTTGAGCCTCATGCGATGCACTTGTGGAACTCACTGCCAGGAGATGCCTCGTCTGGGGACCACGAGGAAGAAAACCTGTAGGATAAGATTTGGCACCGTTCCCCCCTGAGACACTTAAAATGTTGAGGTGCTTTGAAAAAAATCCCACTCGGCACAAATCTGCACGTTTAAGAGCCTGAATGCCTTTGAAAATCTGGGCCATGCAACACTAGGTTTTGATGGAAGTCGGTGGGACTTAACACCTAAGGGACTGGGGCCACTGGGAAATTGCATCCTGGCTTTGTGTGAGAATGCCTAGAATGGCATTACTGGGGGAAAAAATACCAAAGAGGAAAATTCTTTAGGCTCTCACAGTCCCTTCCTGTTCCAGGGATGCTATAAATATCCTGCAAAGCCCTGCCGCGTCGCTGCTTTCCAGCTCCGGGGCCATTAGGTACTCGCCTTTGCATCCTGACCCGAAGGGACAAGTGCCCTGAGCCGCTTGGCATCCCAAGAGACAACACCTCTTTGCCTAAAACTTGTTTCAAAATGTGATAGGGCTGTCTAAATGCATTTTGCTGAAGGTGCAGGAGGCTGTATATGCCTCTGTGTGTATTGTAATTTATTAATTGAAGCCTAAATTAGCCCTGAACAGGTTAGCAGTATGTAATGCAGACAGCTCAAACATGCAACACATTCTTGGCACGTTTCCCTTTATTAATTAAAAACCTTTTTAAAACACTCTGCCTTCCACCTTGGAGCAATAAATTTCCACCTTGAGGAAATAATTTCCTTGTTGTATTCCATACAGAGACGTTCTGTTTGCTGCAATCCCTGTTTTAGTGTAGGCCCCATTCATCCTTATTTCAGTTTCAAAATAAACTTTAAAAATGCCAGGTTGTTCTGTAAAAAAAAAAAAAAAAAGAAAAAAAATCGACTTTTCTGCTTTTTTAAAAATATATTTGGGATTAATTCCGATGTAGTTTACTACCTGTGCAGACTGTGAACCACAAAGCTCCTTCTTAATAAAAGCCCGTAGGACTCCACAGCAGTTCCTGAAGCAGCCGGAGAAGCCTTGGCGATTGAACGCGAGGGGCTGGTCCTGCACGGGAGGCACCCGCCAGCCTGCAGTTGCTGGGAGCGTTTTACGGCCCTCCTGTCACCCCCAGCTCTGGGTGGCTGGTTTTCTTTATGACCACGTGCCACAGCCCAAACCTGCCCAACGCCATGACATAACTTGGCAAAAATGTCACCTGATTTTGGGGATTGAATGGCTTTTGTTCCCCTGCCAGTCTCGGGCTGCGCCTGCCGGAGAGACCTACGTGTGCAAGGAGGCAGGAAAACCCTCCACCGGTTCCTCCAGGAATTTGTACCAAACTCGGTGGGTTTAGGGCTGGTCTAGTTTGGACTTTCTGAGATGGTTCTGCAGCCAACGCAGCTGAACATGTTGTCTCTGCATTGGATGCTGCCCTTCCCTGCTGCCCCATGTGCGGTGTGGTGGGACGATTATCTGGAGCAGGCCAGACTTGCAGAAGTAGGGAACTGCTGCAGGAGTCCTTAACACATCTGAACAAGCTTGGGATGTTGGCAGCTGGAGGAGACTGAGAAGAGCCCCTTGCTCTGCACAAACATCCCCTCCAGGCAGCACCATCCCAGCAGCTCAGCTGGATGCGATTCAGAGCTTTAACCTGAGATGCTGTTGACAGTCAGAGATGATGGATGGACAGTCCTTGAATGGGGGCACTGTGTAAGACCCCCCTGGCACCAGCAGGCACAGTGTTACCGGGAGAGCAGCCAGCTCGTGCTGCCGCTGCTCTCCAGGGTGATGTAACAGGGATGCAAGAGGCTGCATGTAGTTGTGATTTGGATTTAATGAGGAAGTTTGCATTTGCCTAAAAGTCATTACCAACGATAAGCTCAGTTCACCAAACCGGCACTCGCATCAACTCCCAGGAGTGTCTTTTGTATATGTTGGTGTCATATGCGGGTCTTCATAAGAAGTGAGATGGTCTCAGAAGCAGTATCATGTCTCTTCCCAGTGACCCCAGGATTTTCACGGGGCTTTCCCAAGCTGAGCAGCCACGGAAGGATGAGAGATGACTGCGGACTCCTGTCTCCTATCCTGGCCCATCCTGAATGGCAGGGGAGGAGCAGCTGGACAGTGAGGGCAGCAGAGATACCATTCTACCTCCAGTTTGTGCTCAGACCCCAAGGCACGAGGGTTAATAGCACTGCTCGTTTTTATTCAGCTAATTTATTAATGCAGAAGCTTGGGAGCATCTGTATCCTTTATCAACAGGAATCTGTTACTCCGTTAGTAACCTGTCCATATTTCAAAAGGCAGTGAGAAGCTCCTGTGTGCTAGATGTGATGCTTCTGGGACCAAGCAGCCCTTGGTCTTGCCACTGTGTAGCACTTTTACTCACCACTGAGCCCTCCAAGGGCTGCTTCCCAGTCCAAGAGGCTGATGCATGGCCACAGCCTCTGGATTTTGTGATGCTCCCATGCATCGTGGTGGTTGCCCCTTCCCTCTCCTTAATTCCCAGCAGATGCACACAAGGGAGCTGGTTCAGAGGTGGTCCAGGGAGGCTGTCACCTCCCACGTCCCCAGCCCCGCTTCCCAGCCTTCATTCCCACCCAGCATCTCCCTCACCTATGGAGCATGCATTTGTTTTTCTTTTTGCAGGTTTTCACAGAGACTCTTGGCCAGACAATGACGTACGCCCTCATCCTGCTGTTCCTGCTGATGTTTGTGTTTGCCATCTTGGGACATGGATGGTATGGAGATCCCAAAACTGGAGACATTGAAACTGGGGCAGTGTGAAGGCTGCCCTCTTCACGCTCTTCAGTTTAGTAACCGTGAGTATGGCAGCATTTTCCAGTCTGTCTCAGCCAAATGACAAACTGCAGATTTTGGAGTGCTGCTGAAGAAGCCCTACGATTAACCGGCGACTTCATTAGGGAGAGCATGAACTGCTCGGCAGTGAACTCATATTCCAGACCCCTGGGAAAATTTGCTTTGATAGACAAACTTCCCTATGGAGTATTGCAAACTCAGAGGGGAAAGTCTCTGAAGCAAAGAGATCTGTACTAGCTGATTTAAACTTGGACCTCTGAGGGACAGAGAAACTGTGCTCAGTTTTAAAAAAGAAAGAAAAAGAAGAGGAAGATTTCATATGGCTTGTGAGTTATACTGTGGTTTGGAACTAACTCTCTGGTCTGCGTAAATACATTTGCAGGTTGATGGTTGGACAGACTTACAGCGCAAGATGGATCATTATGGGTTTACGAGCAGCCACATGTTCATAGTCGTGTTCATCTTGCTGGGCAACTTCATCTTCTTCAATGTGTCGATTGCACTTGTGATTACCAAAACCCAGGTCATGCGAGCTCTGAGCATTGCACGCGTGTGTGAGCGTGTGTGCTACCAGCTAACAGGCTCTGGTTAGAAAGCTGGTGCTTGGCTGCTTGCAAGCTTGTTGGCTTCTGGTGCAGCTAGAAACATTCTGGATACAGAAGCCCCCAGTCCCTGAGCAGAATAAGGGTATCTTTCCCCATGGTCCCCTTTTTGGGTTAACTCTACACTCCTGCTTTGACTATTTTTCCATAGCTGTCAAAAGCTCCCGTTCCTCCAGCACAGCCAGCCCCCAGGTCCCGTGGGTGCACACTTTGCACCCAGGTCCCCTCAGCCATGACCCATTTCTGCCTCTGTTTAACCCAGGGCTGCTCTCGTGGTCTTGTAGCTGCCTCTGGCCCTTCTGCAGCACATCCCTGCGTGGAGCCAGGGCCAGGGCCAGCAGGGTGTGCTGGGGGAATATGGCAAATCCTATGCAAGAGGCATCTGCTCCCCAGCAGCTCTCAGCTGCCAGCCCCGAGGTGGTCCCACTTAACACCTCTCGCTGCTGCACGGGGCTGAGGCTGGACCAGGGGTTTTTTGAAGCCTAGGTCTTCTTGACCAATCTCTTCACCCACCAGCTGTGAGCGGTGCTTGGGGACTCGCTCGCATCCCTGTGGTTTGGCACTGGCAGGACTTGGCTCAGAAGCATGAACAGGACTGCAAAGTGGCGAAAGCGGCTGCTGTCTGGGCCAAGAAACAGAAGATCCTGAAAAAGCAGGGGAAGAACGTGAGCAACCAAGTCACGCTCGAGCAGGTGGGCTGTGGTCAGCCGTGGGCGGATAGCACTGTCTGCAAATGTCAGATGTTGTTTAACAGGGCAAGGTGTGGATGAACTGCTTTCAGTGGAGGAAAAATTTCCTTTTCTTTCCTTGCCCATTTTTATAATAATCCAGGCTGTAGATACTATATGCCTTTTTGGTAGGCTCATCACACGTGCAGCTAAAAGTATTATGATGGCAGTTAAAGTATTATAAAGGTGGAGGAAAACTCTTAATCGGGTTTGATGTGTTTTGTCTGAGTTTGTTTAACTTCAAAGAGAAGTTTAAAAAGAAATCCTTTTAGGTCATGTCAAGCCAAGAGCCCTGTCCAGAAATGGCTTGGACTTGCTTTCTGCGAGCGCTCGAGGGAGGTCGTGCTCCTTCCCGTACTCTCGCAGCCCATTGGTGCAACGTATCCAAAATGCTACTACGGGCTTGAAACACATGCTGCAGCGTCTGTAGGAGAGCTGTGCACTGCTTGATAAAGAACTTCTGTAAAGCTGACTTGAAATTAATGCAGTAAAGCTGTCACTGAAATGTAAATGATTAGAGCAACGTGACTCTCTGTTTCCACCAGCTCTTCGCTCATTCTTGCTTTTAGCAAATGTAATTTAAAAATAATCTGTTCAGGATGGCTTGGTTGAGAGTGTTCTTGCCTTTGGGCCAGAAAAATCACTGGTTCGAGTACTAGACTGAGTGACCAATTTGGGTCAGTGCTTTGGGTCCCTCCACAAGGGCAGGGGTGGGGGTCCCTGCAGAGCTGCAGGACCTGCCTGCCCAGGAGGGCACTGGGACAGCCCGGGCTGCCTCCCCTGGGACAGGCACCCCCATCCCGTCAGCACCCATGAGCTCCTGCACCGCCTGGCACGTCTGGCTGCTCCGAAAGCACACTGGGGATGGGGGTCACCGACAGCCCCGTTTCCAGCCTGCAGCCGGTGTGAAGCCCATGTAGGGGTCTGCAGGATGACAGTCCCAAGTGTCACCTCCTTCCCACTAACAGCATTTTCTTCCTGGGCTTGCCCTTTTTCACAACACAAAATCACTCAAGGTGAAGATTTCAGTGAGCTGCTGGATGACATCAAAAAGACTTTGCGCCACTCTGATATCATCATTATGGAGGGTTTTTGTTTCACCATCCCATTTATTGATCTGTATTTGCCATTCCTGGACCTCCAGGATGACACAGTGAATGGGTCAGTAATGGTGGAGCAGGTGACTACAAGAGAGATTCCGAGTTACAAAAACAGATTCCCTTTTGATGTAGTGAATTATTTTCTTGGAATGAATGGACATTTTGAGTCTGTTCCCTCTAGGGAAAATGCTACTGGTCTCAGCACAAGCAGTGCTGAGAGTCTAGGAAGGTACCAACATATGGCACGTGCTAGAAATAGGACTGGTTCCGTCCCCATCAGGAGGGCTGACGCCATTTCTCAGCACCATGCAGTGTCAGTGTGGGATCGGTGTCCACCACAAATAGGCTCAATTTCCTGCTGGAAAATTCACCATTCTTCACCGTTCTTCATTGCACCCCAGCCCCAGCATGTCCTGGGGTTCGCAGAGCCCCGAGTGTCTCCTGGGTGCACAGCCCCGAGCAAGGCTCCATCCTCCTGGTCTGGCTCCCATATTTCACCTCTCGGCCTGGGAGAGAGGTGAGAGCACATCCCAGATTTATGGGGGCAGTGGGGTTGGAGGACGTGTTTGCACCCAAGTTTGGGAGGTGAGGAGGACTTGATGCCTTCTCACAGCAGTAGTCCAGGCTGACCTGCGCTTTGCCTCAGCAATGGGCTTCTCTGGATCTTGTTTGGGGAACAGCTAACCCCAGGCAGTGAGTCTAAACCATGTAACCAGAAAAACCTCCCACAAATCCCCCAAATGGAGACTGCTGAGTTTTACATGTCTTAGGTTAACCTTAATGTGATACAAGCCTATGATCACAGCTTGGTACCTATTGTTTAAAAAAACCGCGATCTGGCCTGGAGTCCAGAAAAAATTCCCTGGATGTCAGAAATTCCCTTTTGCCCTGTTCCCCAGGTGACTGTGGTTACTGTCAGGAGCCTCTGTGTTATTTTTCCACCGTACTTTCAATGCACTGATCAGGGCTAGTGCTTCTGAAAATGTTTTGCTGTGCATGTGGCACACGGCATGGAGCTGATCCGGAGTTGCACTTCTGCCATTCTCCTCTGATCTTTTGGGAGAAAAATATTTACAAAGATGTTAAAGAAAACCTGCAGAGCCAGGAGGCTCAACGCCATGCGATGCGCTTGGGATCTTTCCATTGCTCCTCGCCCTGCCGGGTGAATGGAGGGGTGCTCGCAGAGGATGCAGTTCTCTGTATGCCTTAGACATGGTGCTTCCCATTTGGCATGGTATCTGGGGATCTTTTCACCATGCTCTTCTCTCGCTGCAGGTTGCAACTTCACTATTACAAACATGCTGGCATATTGAGAGAGATTGTGGAAGTCATGAAAGAAAAATCTTTACCACATCATGAGAAGATGAAAAGATAAAAGCTCTTTAGGGGAAACATGATCCTTGGTGGCTGCCAGAGTTCTGCCTACAACCTCCTCTTCAAACCTTCATTAAAATAGGCCAGAAATATTTACAATTAAAAATAATTCAGAAAATATCTGGTTTCCTTTCTGCTCACTGACCGGGTGGAAATGCAGCCACCGGTGCTGGCCCCGCGCTGCAGGCAGCCGCTGATGGAGGGAGGCACATCGCCGTTGAGAGCCAGAGAAACCGTGGGCTGGGAAAGGATCACAGGCCGGGTCCTTTTCCTGGAAACCTTGTGGCAAGGCTGGGACTAGAGCCCAGGCCTCTGGTGCTCTCCCTGCCAGCTCCCTCTTTCTAAGATCAAGCAGCCTCGGCATAACGAAGGGGCTGCTCTGAGTCAGAGCAAACCAACCCACGCTAAGGAAACAGATCGTGATATCTCCCAACGAAGCAGCTCATTTCTGTGCTCTGATGCTGATTAGCATCTTGCAATAACCCGCTTGGGTTCATCTGGCAGTTTTAATACAAACACACCCACACGGCTCTGGGTAATCGGAGAAGGAAAGAGGAGACCTGTGGAGTGGCAGCCGTTCCTCCGCACGGCACGGGGTGTACCGGTACAGAGTTACAGCCCCAAAGCCTGGGCACAGCGGCCATGACGGCAGCGGTCGATCTGCCTGAGATGGCAAGGAACGAGCCACCCTGACCCCCTCCCGGTCACGCAGGCAAGGGGGGGTTAGCAGAGCGGGCTGCATGGCACAGCTCCGCTTTATCCCCACACAGTCCCCCAGATGGGGTTTGGCTCTCTCCAGGCTGGATTACGTTGCTGATGTGGGGAGAGGGGTGGGTGCCTTGTGTCGGGGATGCTGGGGGCTCGCATCTGCTCCTTGGCTCCCGCGGCAAGCAGGCGGACTCGAGCTTCTGACGACTCGGATGTGAGGCTGCTGCAGGTTTTGCCTTTGGTGGCAGTGCTGGTGTAACATCAAGTGCTGAGTTTTTCTCAGTCTTGATTGGTTTTATATGACCATTCCTTGTGATTCTGTATCATCAACGGGAGTTCAGTATTACCAGAGGAACATCTAGAAGATATCCTCTTCACTACTATGCTGTGGCTTCCAGCAGCAAAATAACCAAGAGCCAGACACGAACGGTATCTAAGACAAAACTATTGACACATCCCTACAGAGAGGAGTGGATTGATTTTGAGGAGCTCTCTCCACCACTGCCGTGGCCCTGCCTACCTCTCACAAAACCCACAGAGCTCATCTCTGTGGTTCTTTAAAATGCATTTTTGATACTGGCCCTGGGGCTGCCGTTTGCAGTGGGTTTGTGCCCCAAAGCCTTCGCCCGAGCCGGCCAGTGTGAGGGGGCTGAGAGCTGCTAACAGGAGCTCCTCGTAAAAGGGCTAGGGAGAAACCAATTGAGCTCCTGCTCAATTTGTTTTTCATGTTCTCGTTTGTAATAATTTTGTGTTTTATGAGGGATACTTCCTAAAATTTCCCCAACATGATGGAAACACATGTGGTGCTATAATACATGATGTGACCCTTTTGGTGGAGAGATGAGATGAAAACCTGCTTTTCTCTGACAGCTACACGTGATACGGTGCAGTGAGACAGCCAAGCGGAGGGGCATGGGGTATCCGACCTTCCCCCAGCCATGCCCATGCTGTTCATCCCTCCAAAAATACTGCCTGCATATCTTTGCATGCACAATTTCCAGGCGGATTTTCTTGCTAATTCATTATTTAAACTTTTTCTCCTCCTTTTGTTGTTTTTCTAGGTGTAAACCAGCTCTGGGCCCATGCATGTCCATGTGTCACCCCAGGTGACACAGAAAGCATCACTTGGGATTTTATCCAAAGTGCAGGTTTGCTCCTGTGCTCACTTCAAGGACAGAGCCAAACTGGAGGAAGCAAATACTGATCCTAGAAATGGTTTCTGTGGGCTTCAAAGCTAATAATGCCAAGGTTAAAGGACCTTTACTTATTTGAATTAACGAATCCCTCTACAATGGACATGACTGAGGTATCAGCATCACTGGCTGTCTTTGAGTCACACCGCAGTGGGTGCCACTGAACTGGGGCAATTCCTGCAGTATTTGGGTTTGGGTGAGTGACGAGGGTCACCTTGCCCGTCAGCCAGGACCGCTGGCATCCCCTTCCCCGCAGCAGTGGGTGCAGAGGGTCCCTGAAAACGCAGGGCTGGCTCTCACCAGCAGCACCCTGGCTTGGGCTGTTGGTAATCCTGGTTTTCATTATTTTAATGGTAAGATAAAACTTTTGTGTAGTGTGAAAAACAATCCTAAGCCTCCCTGTGTTTATAGGAAGGGCTCAGACAGGCTGAAAAAATGGTGTGCAAGAGCCAGAGACCGCAGGACCGCAAGGAGGGTGAAAGGACACTGGTCATAAATGGTCTGGGGATGTTTTTTAACTGAAAATAAAATTCTAGTGGCAGGAAAGTGCAACAGTGATGTTGGTGAGTGATTCAGGATGAATGCAGAGGCCAGCAATCACAAGCAGCAACCAAAAAGGTGGAGAGTGGTAAAATCCTCTCACCCTGATGACGGATTTCCAGTTTCCAGCTGGAAACGGCAAAGCACTCTCAAGTTTTTCAGATTCCTTAAAATATTGTGGCCTTGCTTGATCACCAGAAACATTGCAGCTTTGGAAGAAACCTCTTTGCCACTCATTTTGGTACAGAATTTGTTCTGGAGGTATGAGCCCAGGAGCTTCAGAGGCCTGTGGGCAGCATTTTGGGTGCAAAAAGCCTCACTGCTGGGACCAGGAGAGGACAGGCTGCAGTACTGGCACCTGGGGACTTAAGGCACGTGGGCAGAACAACCTGTAAAATATGTAAAATAACATGCCGGGAGGAGGGAGGCTTGCTGGGAGACCGGCAGCGGCGGGGGGTGCTGGAGAAGTTGTCTGGGGGCAGCTTCCCACCTCTGCTGCCTCGCTGCGGGGCAGGGCTCTGCTGTCACGGGGGATTTGTTCGGGGTTTTTTTCCCCATGAAAGCCTTTGCTTTGACTTTCCATGGGGGACCTGTCCTTGGACAGTTCTGTGCATTTCCCACCTTAAGCTTCACCTTACGTCCCAATAAAGCTTTTTCTTGCTACTTAATTTTCCCTGTACCTCTGTGTACCTTCCCACGGGCTGACTTGGCCCAAGACCTGCTGAAACACTACGAGAAATGCTCTGAATATGTCAGGATGTTGCTCAGCTGCTTTGGCCAGGCTGGGCAGTGCGAAGCAGCCCTTTGGCCACTGGCTTCAGTTTTGGGAGGTGCCAGCAGCCTTTTTGGTGCCCGATACACAGCATGATGCTGCTTCTTGGCTCTGTCCTGGGGAGACTCAGAGAGCAACAAAATACAAAATGGGGATCCTCAGCAAAGACACCCCCACGTATTAATGAGGGAAATTAATGTACTTTGTAAGTTGGTTTCTCCTGCACTTTGGGCTGGTGTAAATTAGGACCAGGCCAAAGAAGTCAGGAGGGCTGCACCAGTGTAAACTGGACTTCATAAAATAAAAAGGAGAGGCCCCTTTTGTCAGGCGATGGCTTTTCCTCAGAAGCTAAATGATACATAATGTTTATATAGTGTTTTGCCTCTCCTAAATGCAGGCTAGACATTAATTGATTCCAGGTTTGCTCTGTGAAGTAGATCAGCTCTCTCCATTTTGCAGATAAAGGAGCGGTGGGGATTGCTGAGGGGTGCACGGGGGTCAGCGCCAGCGCTGGGGCACCTATATGGATCGCCACCCTTGCCGTCAGACCACGCTGCCTCCCTAAATATATACTTCTGATGTCTGTTGAAATCAGCTGTGACTCTGTAAACCCAGTTACATTAAGCCCGGTTCAAATGAAATCTGTTTCTCTCTCCAACGCTCATTGCTGGTCAAAGCAGGACTTAACTAACCTAACGCTGTTTGTGTTAAACCTCTGCTCTGACCATCTTGAAGTGAAATATAAAGTACTCGCTGGGGCCTGGCCAGAGTCCAGGGAGCTGTTTCAGACTCCCCCTTCTCTCTTTTGCTCGTGGGGCCGTTTAGAAAAAGCATCACACATTTTAAACAGTGATGGAAAAAAATTATTTTAATTCACTTCAGTTTACATAGCACTGGAAGCTTGTGAGGGTTTGTAGAGATGATTATTAATGGTTTAAGCTGGCGTGGTAAAAATGTTGCCTTGGTCTGGGAACATGTGCTGGCTCTTGAGCCCCTGGGGCTGGTTTAGCCAAGCGCTGGCCCCGCGGGCTGCGCCGGGGGAGCCAGGGAGGGAGGACCTAATGGCTTGGTGGGTCCCACCACTGTGGTTCATTTCGGCATCTTGGAAACAGCCTCCTGCCCATTCTGCTGATGTTGAACTATTAAACCCCAAAGCTTGGATCTGGGGAAACACCTGGTTCTTGCTGGTTCCCTTCATTTCTGGATGTCCAGCTTGGAGGTGTTGGGTGGCCAGACCATAGGGAAGTGGGGCGTACCCACGCTTGGAGCACTGCTCCTTCGCTACTGTCTCAAAGCTGACCTGCAAAGCCTCCATCTAGCTTAATTTTCATAGATTTTGTCCAGCTTTTTGGGAGCATGGCCTTTTATTTTTGTTTTGGACATCATTGTATGAATCAGACTGTGCTCCTCCGAAGCAGGTGGAGTCATGCCCGAATGTGCACTGGGTGGGTGTGAGAGGGGAATTGGGTCCCGTGTAAAGTGCCCCGATCTCCTTCTGACCGGCGAAGGAGGTGGGGATGAGCAGGCACAGGCACACCTGCGGTGTGAGCCCAGCCTACGAGCCCAGCTTCTTCCATCAGAAGACTCAGACATGGTTTTACTGGTCTATTGCACAGCGGGATCTTGCACCTATAAAACTACTCTTAATTACTTCCTAAGTTACTAAGCAGGGTGAGGTTGATTTTATCTTATAACCCAATAGGACTTTGTCAATTTAGTATAAACCCCTTCCCACCATAACCTTGTTGTCTATGTATATGGGTGTATGATCATATACTGCATGCACAT